GGTATAAACACGTCCTCTCCTTTAGCTTTTCCTGTCAGTATTGTAGCTTCCAGTACATGTGGCATCATGTTCTTCACCACCAGTCTTGTGCCATTGCAGAGGATTGGTGGTTCAAGATTTCTTAAGAGCATTATAGGAGTTCCAATCTTGAGAGTGAGGTGGTGAGGAGGCATTCCAGCGGGCTCCAAAGAATTAAGGAATTCTGCAGGGTACTGGACTGCTTGGTCCTGGTCGATTACTGTATCAACAGATTTGAATGAGGTCTCACTGCCTGGAAGCTGTCTGAGTAGAGTCATGTTGATTTCAGCCACTGTTTCATTCTTTGGTGCCAGAATTGCACGTTCACGCAGCCACTTGTGATCCTTGTAGTGGTGGATAATGTTTGGGTAGACCATGTTAGTGAGCTCAGTTGAGGACTTTACAACATTTCCACATCCTTGAGGAATGATTATTTGTCCTGAATCAACAGGGAAAGTTCCATTCCCAATCTGTAGTAGAAGGTTTGCAAATCGTTCAGCATCCTGATCTCCTTGTAGATGTACTCTCATGTTTGTGGATAGGGTGAGTGTCTGAACACTTCTACAAAGGTATGATACCTTGAAGCACGCATTCAGTTCATCAGCTGGAGTGCTTCGAGGAATGACAGGTAGGGTCTGGCGAAAGTCTCCAGCAATGACCAGTGTAATGCCACCCATGAGCTGGTCATTTTCTCGTATGTCTTGCAAGGTCCTGTCCAATGCTTCAAACGCTAACTTGTGAGACATAGTGCATTCATCCCAGACACTGAGGATACATTTTTCTAAGAGTTTTGCCTTTGCCGATCCTCTTTTGATGTTGCACACTGGATTCTCATTGTGAGCGAGGTTGAGAGGCAGTTTAAAAGTTGAGTGTGCAGTACGTCCTCCTTCCAGTAGTGTTGCAGCAATGCCTGAGGATGCCACAGCAAGAGCAATTTTCCCCTGATGACGTACTTTGGCCAACAGAAGGTTGATCAAGAATGTTTTTCCTGTCCCGCCAGGTGCATCGAGAAAGATCACACCTCCCTGCTCCGCTTGTATCGCTTGCAAGATCTATTCATAAGCATTTGCTTGATCAGGCACCAGGTGGGGCTCATTTTCTTCAACAAAATTCACCAGAACTTCAACTGAGTAGTCTGTCTCTCTGAGCATCTCCCTGTTTGCAGCTACAGGTTCTTCTCGGTTTGGGGAAGGCAATCCAAAATCAGTCAGGTTTTTTCCGCATAGCTCCATCACTTTGTCTTCCAGCATGATCAGAGCCCTGTTGAACATGTCATCCATGAACTCAATCTCTTGACCAGGATGTTCTCTTCTTGCTTGATGAAGCAGATCCTCTGAAAGACTTTCTTGGTGGTTTTTCCAGAGCTGGCTTGCGTTGGAAAGTCCACATGTAGCAATCATGATGGCAAACAGGTTCCTCATTCTCATTGGCGATTGAGTAGCTGCTGCCTCTTCTAATGTGTCATTCCAGTGACCATCATCTTCCAGTAGGCCAAGGAGATTGCCCGCTTCCTGATAGGTTCTGCAGACTTGTCCACTCACTGTCTTGAGTGCTGCATATGGTGTTGGGCCACGGATGTGGTGCAAAAGTAGTCTCAAACAATAGCATTCAAAGTTGTTGGGGTGAACCGTGTAGACACGTCCCAAAGCATTGCCTGACTTTATCCCTGGATATCCTTCAACATCGGATCCTTGAGCTCTTCTCTGGAACTTTTTCATTGAAGCCTGCCATATGTAGAACTTGTAGTACGTCAACATACAGGAGTATTTGAGCAAACTCTTCTTCCTGTGAAAGATTGAAGAATGCAGTGAGGGTCGTATCAGCAGGATTTGCCATTTGATTTTGGAGAGACTCTTCTGTGAAGTAAACTCTTTGTCCATTTTCCAGGTGAACAGCCAGATGAACTACTGTTGGACATCGTTCGTGTATGGGAAAACTAAAAATTCTCCATAGGGCTTCATTGCTGCATATATAACGGCCCTGCTGAAACTGTATCACCTCATCAATGCAAAGATCGCTTGGTCAGAGCCTTTGTTGACGTATTTGCAAACATACTTGATGGACTTAACTGAATATGCGGAACCACGTTGGTGTGCGCATTGAATGCTTTACTCAAAAGAGGATTGTAGGGGACCACCCATTTGTTGTCTACTGTTATTTCACTGTCTGTTCCAGGCCGCAACACTGCTGTAAAACCTCCATCGCCTGGCGCTCTTCTCCTGTACTGAGGATAGCCATCTTCTCCACTCTGAGTATCCTTTATCAGGTCTTTTGGGAAGTTTTTGTTGCAACGTCCATCTTTCAAGCAGGGAGAGTGTCTGTTGAATGGTCCACATGGCCCATGAATCATTTGCTTCTTGATGATCTCATAGAGAACTGGATCTTCTTCTGGATCAGGAAACTCTGCTCGTATGCAGTTGTCAATCATGTTCGGTCGAAGTTTCTCTTTCAGCCAGATCAAGACATGGGCATGTGGTAGACCTTGTTTCTGCCACTCAATGGAATACGTGTAGCACCGTGTAGGGCCAAAGATTGATGCTTTTGTAAGCAAGTCCATGAGTTTGATCACCTTCTGACGAAATACTCTCGCCGATCTTGTCCTTTCTGGCCTTCCATTGGAGCTTCTGTTATGTCAGTCCATACAGGGTTGCATGAAAAAGTAATGAAGAGATCTGGTCGTCCATAGTTTCTGACGTAGGTCATGGCATCCCAGAGAAAGGTGAACAAACAGACAGACTTCTTTGTTTTATATATATATATATTCACTACATATAACACCATCCATCATCACTACATATAACATCATCCATCATCACTACATATAACACCATCCATCATCACTACATATAACATCATCCATCATCACTACATATAACACCACCCATCATTACTACATATAACACCATCCATCATCACCACCACATCACATATAACACCATCCATCATCACTACATATAACATCATCCATCATCACTACATATAACACCATCCATCATCACTACATATAACACCATCCATCATCATTACATATAACACCATCCATCATCACTACATATAACACCATCCATCATTACATATAACACCATCCATCATCACTACATATAACACCATCCATCATCACTACATATAACACCATCCATCATCACTACATATAACACCATCCATCATCATTACATATAACACCATCCATCATCACTACAGATGGGTAGTTTCCGAGATTCTCGTGCGGACACACACACATTAATTCTTTGTTATATATATATATATATATATATATATATATATATATATATATATATATATATATATATATATATATATATACTGTATATATATATATATACTGTATATATATTTATATATATATCATGTAGATCCACAATGACAACGTGGATAATATAAATATTGATGAAATCACACAGGAAAAAGGGAAACAATGGAGCACCTTAGCTTTCGTCTTTATTCAAGACATCTTCAGAGGCAACTGAAGATGTCTTGAATAAAGACGAAAGCTAAGGTGCTCCATTGTTTCCCCTTTCCCCGTGTGATTTTATCAATATATATACTGTATATATATATATATATATATATATATATATATATATATATATATATATATATATATATATATATATATATATATATATATATATATGCTGATAACCACAAGGAAAGAAGAAAACACGAAGTTCCCAAGCGCTGTAATTCTACATCTTCAGGGATGAGTACAGACTTGTGTTATCAGCATATACCTAGATCACGCGCACCTACAGTGATTTACTTGCTTATATATATATATATATATATATATATATATATATATATATATATATATATATATATATATATATATATATATATATATATATATATGTGTGTGTGTGTGTGTGATTATTGTGGTTAAACACTGTTGATTCACGTATAGCCTATTTTTTGTAGTATAGGACTATATTATGATCATATTTTTATGCCCTTCAATGTTTATCCCCGCCATAATGCAGGGTGGCCATACTACTACTAATAATATACCATAATAGCTTTATTGTAGTATTATATTAATGGGATACATATAATGAGACTCTTTTTTAGGTTAAACGTTGCCGATTTGTTTAAAAATGAAAAGTAATATAATATGGGAAATTGATTTAGGGGAGAACAGAAAGCCTAATGTACAGTACGTATTAAGAGCTTTTGCCTCGACCTACGTGCAGATGCTTCCCGGGTGATGATCAATTAGACTGTTACTGCTTGTACTCCATACGCCATCATGTTACCATAACCTGCATGATATATCTCTTGAGTTTTAATTATTGATGAGTACACAGGTCTGTACTAAACTAGAATACTGTATTCTGTTAAAAGGAACTAGTTTTTGAAGCGCAGTAACAACAACATCGTTTCCTTAGTATACAGTATTGGCAGTATTCTTAGTTATTAATTATGATTCTCGAGTTTAAACATTGACCCAGTGAATGTGTTCTAGAGACCTTACTATGTGAACACCCCCCACCACCCCAACCTTCAAATTCAAGATGGCGCAGACTCCACGATTACACTACGCGTCATAGGGGAAACAAAATCTTTACTTGATATATTTATTCTGTAACCAAGCTGAATGATTTTAGGTTATCCGCAGCCTAGTTAAATCAACACCACAAATACATTCAAGCCCAGTGAATTACGGTCCTGAAATCGTGGCTATGAAACCTTCTCTTACCATCACGTTCACAGCTGTCTACCTCAGTTTTTTTTTTCCATTTATCGTACGACCCAAAAATGACTAAATGTACGATTTCATGTCCAGTTGTGAGAATTGTAAGCTAGAAGCTGCGTTACGGGGGACCATTGTGTATTCATGGTGATGCTTCAAGTCCGATAGTGTGCGGCGTGAGTTTATCTCGTTATGTTTCTATCTCTCTCTCTCTCTCTCTCTCTCTCTCTCTCTCTCTCTCTCTCTCTCTCTCAGTATAAAGTTACGGGTCTTACAGTCTCAGTCTTGTGTCTCCGGGTCTTGTGTCTCCGGTCTTGTATCTCCGTGTCTTGTGTCTCTGGGTCTTGTGTCTCCGGTCTTGTGTCTGGTCTTGTGTCTCCGGGTCTTGTGTCCCGAGTCTTGTGTCTCCGGTCTTGTGTCTCGGGTCTTGTGTCTCCGGGTCTTGTGTCTCCGAGTCTTGTGTCTCCGGGTCTTGTGTCTCCGGGTCTTGTGTCTCCGGGTCCTGTGTCTCTGGTCTTGTGTCTCCGGGTCTTGTGTCTCCGGTCTTGTGTCTCTGGTCTTGTATCTCTGGGTCTTGTATCTCCGGGTCTTGTGTTCTGGTCTTGTGTCTCCGAGTCTTGTGTCTCCGGGTCTTGTGTCTCCGGGTCTTGTGTTCCTGGGTCTTGTATCTCTGGGTCTTGTATCTCCGGGTCTTGTATCTCCGGGTCTTGTGTCTTGGGTCTTGTGTCTCCGGTCTTGTGTCTCCGGGTCTTGTATCTCCGGGTCTTGTATCTCTGGGTCTTGTATCTCCGGGCTTGTGTCTCTGGGTCTTGTATCTCTGGGTCTTGTATCTCCGGGTCTTGTTCTCCGGGTCTTGTGTCTCTGGGTCTTGTATCTCTGGGTCTTGTATCTCCGGGTCTTGTATCTCCGGGTCTTGTGTCTCTGGGTCTTGTGTCTCTGGGTCTTGTGTCTCCGGGTCTTGTATCTCCGGGTCTTGTGTCTCCGGGTCCTGTGTCTCCGGGTCTTGTGTCTCCGGTCTTGTGTCTCCGGGTCCTGTGTCTCCTGGTCTGGCTGGTCTTGTATCTCCGGGTCTTGTGTCTCCTGGTCTTGTGTCTCCGGCCTGTGTCCCGGGTCTTGTGTCTCCGGTCTTGTGTCTCCGGCTTGTATCTCCGGTCTTGTATCTCCGGGTCTTGTATCTCCGGGTCTTGTGTCTCCGGGTCTTGTGTCTCCGGGTCCTGTGTCTCCGGTCCCTGTCTCTGGTCCTGTGTCTCCGGGTCTTGTATCTCCGGGTCTTGTATCTCCGGGTCTTGTGTCTCCGGTCTTGTGTCTCCGGTCTGTCTCTGGTCTTGTGTCTCCGGGTCCTGTGTCTCCGGTCTTGTATCCCGGGTCTTGTGTCCTGGTCTTGTGTCTCCGGGTCCTGTGTTCCTGGTCTTGTGTCTCCGGGTCCTGTGTTCCCGGTCTTGTATCTCCGGGTCTTGTATCTCCGGTCTTGTGTCTCCGGGTCTTGTGTCTCCGGGTCTTGTATCTCCGGGTCCTGTGTCTCCGGGTCTTGTGTCTCCGGGTCTTGTATCTCCGGGTCTTGTATCTCCGGGTCTTGTATCTCCGGGTCTTGTATCTCCGGTCTTGTGTCTCCGGGTCCTGTGTCTCCGGGTCTTGTGTCTCCGGGTCCTGTGTCTCCGGGTCTTGTGTCTCCGGGTCTTGTGTCTCGGGTCCTGTGTCTCCGGGTCTTGTGTCTCCGGGTCTTGTATCTCCGGTCTTGTATCTCCGGGTCTTGTATCTCCGGGTCTTGTATCTCCGGGTCTTGTATCTCCGGTCTTGTGTCTCCGGGTCTTGTGTGTCTCGGGTCTTGGTCTCGGGTCTTGTGTCTCCGGGTCTTGTGTCTCCGGGTCCTGTGTCTCCGGTCTTGTGTCTCCGGGTCCTGTGTCTCGGTCTTGTGTCTCCGGGTCTTGTATCTCCGGTTCTTGTATCTCCGGGTCCTGTGTCTCCGGGTCTTGTATCTCCTGGTCTTGTATCTCCGGCTTGTGTCTCCGGGTCCTGTGTCTCCGGGTCTTGTGTCTCCCGGGTCCTGTGTCTCCGGTCTTGTGTCTCCGGGTCTTGTATCTCCGGGTCCTGTATCTCCGGGTCTTGTGTCTCCGGTCTTGTGTCTCCGGTCTTGTATCTCCGGGTCCTGTGTCTCCGGTCTTGTGTCTCCGGTCTTGTATTCTGCCTCTGTACCGGGTCTTGTATCTCCGGGTCTTGTGTCTCCGGTCTTGTATCTCCGGTCTTGTATCTCCGGGTCTTGTATCTCCGGGTCTTGTGTCTCCGGGTCTTGTGTCCCGGGTCCTGTGTCTCGGTCTTGTGTCTCCGGGTCTTGTGTCTCCGGTCTTGTATCTCCGGGTCTTGTATCTCCGGTCTTGTATCTCCGGGTCTTGTGTCTCCGGTCTTGTGTTCCGGTCTGTGTCTCCGGGTCTTGTATCTCCGGGTCTTGTATCTCCGGGTCCTGTATCTCCGGGTTGTATCCCGGGTCCTGTGTTCTGGGTCTTGTGTCTCCGGGTCTTGTATCTCCGGGTCTTGTATCTCCGGTCTTGTATCTCCGGGTCTTGTGTCTCGGTCTTGTATCTCCGGGTCTTGTATCTCCGGGTCCTGTATCTCCGGGTCCTGTGTCTCCGGGTCTTGTGTCTCCGGTCTTGTATCTCCGGGTCTTGTGTCTCTGGTCTTGTGTCTCCGGGTCCTGTGTCTCCCGGTCTTGTGTCTCCAGGTCTTGTGTCTCTGGGTCCTGTGTCTCCGGGTCCTGTGTCTCCGGTCCTGTGTCTCCGGGTCCTGTATCTCCGGTCTTGTATCTCCGGGTCCGTGTCCTGGGTCCCAGTTCCCTCCGGGTCCTGTGTCTCCGGGTCCTGTGTCTCCGGGTCTTGTGTCTCCGGTCTTGGTCTCCAGCCTGGTTCCGGGTCCTGTATCTCCGGGTCCTGTGTCTCCGGGTCCTGTGTCTCCGGGTCCTGTGTCTCCGGGTCCTGTGTGTTCTCCGTCCTGTGTTCCGGGTCTTGTATCTCCGGGTCCTGTATCTCCGGTTTTGTATCTCCGGGTCCTGTATCTCCGGGTCCTGTGTCTCCGGGTCCTGTATCTCCAGGTCTTGTATCTCCGGGTCCTGTGTCAACGGGTCTTGTATCTCCAAGTCTTGTATCTCCGGGTCCTGTGTCTCCGGGTCCTGTATCTCCAGGTCTTGTGTCTCCGGGTCCTGTGTCTCCGGTCTTGTATCTCCAGGTTTTGTATCTCCGGGTCCTGTGTCTCCGGGTCCTGTATCTCCAGGTCTTGTATCTCCGGGTCCTGTATCTCCGGGTCCTGTGTCTCCGGGTCCTGTGTCTCCGGGTCCTGTATCTCCGGGTCTCCGGTTACCTGGATGCGTACACGTCAGCTCAGGTGTTTGCTCTATTATTGTGAAGTATTGAGGACTGTGTCGTGTTTCCGTGATGGTTGAAGGTAAGGTTAGGTTAGGTTATGGTGTGTTAAAGGAGGTTGAGGGTCACGTTAGGCTAGGCTGTGAGGTTAGGTTATGGCGGGTAAGATATGGTTAAGTTTGGTTAAGTTATGTTAAAGGAGGTTGAGGGTCACGTTAGGCTAGGCTGTGAGGTTAGGTTATGGCGGGTAATATAAGGTTAAGTTTGGTTGTTATGTTAAAGGAGGTTGAGGGTCACGTTAGGCTAGGCTGTGAGGTTAGGTTATGGCGGGTAATATAAGGTTAAGTTTGGTTAAGTTATGTTAAAGGAGGTTGAGGGTCACGTTAGGCTAGGCTGTGAGGTTCGGTTATAATGGGTAGTAGGTTAGGTTAAGGTTATATACAGTGTTGTCACGATTTAAAAAAGTAAATCAGTGATTTAAAACTCGCTGTAAATCAACAATTTTTGACATATTACGAGCGTCAAAAATGTCATGCATTTCATAAATGCATATTTTCATGAAATTCATTTTTCAACTCTTAACTTTTCCAGTAATTAAATTAATGACCAGTAATAACAATTGTGAGCGATAATTAGTAATGTACACATACATAAGATGCTGTTAACTGTAGTCCTGCTGTGGTATAAATTAGTTTATTTTGAGCATCTAAATTAGTGAAATTATTAAAGTACAGTAATGTGTTGTATGAAGTATGTAAAGTGAATAATTAGTTTAGTTTACTTGTCCATATCTGACATATATACAATACTGTACTACTGTCTATAATAACCCAATGATACTGCAGCATTATACTATATACTGTACTCACTGTCTATAATAACCTAACGATACTGTGTACATTATAATTATATACCGGTACTACTATAATAACCTAACGATACCGTACATTATACTATATACCGTACTACTGTCTATAATAATAACCTAACGATACCGTACATTATACTATATACCGTACTACCGTCTATAATAACTCAACGATACTGCACATTTATACTATATACTGTACTACTGTCTATACACCTAACGATACCGTACATTATACTATATACTGTACTACTGTCTATAATAACCTATCGATACTGCAGGTACATTATACTATATACCGTAATGTACTGTCTCATTAACCTAACGATACCGTACATTATACTATATACCAAAATACTGACTATAATAACTCTAACGATACCGTACATTGTGTCATACTGTACTACTGACTATAATAACTCTAACGATACCGTACATTATACTATATACCGTACTACTGTCTATAATAGCCTAACGATACGTACATTATACTATATAATATACAACTGTCTATAATAACCTAACGACACCGTACATTATACTATATACTGGTACAACTGTCTATAATAACCTAACGACACCGTACATTATACTCATATAATTTCGTACAACTGTCTATAATAATCCTCACGATACCGTACATTATACCATATACTGTACTACTGTCTATAAGAATCCTAACGATACCGTGTACATTATACTATATACTGTACAACTGTCTATAATAACCTAACGATATCGCACATTATACTATATACTGCAAAATAACCGTCTATAATAACTCACGATACCGTACATTATACCATATACTGTACTACTGTCTATAAGAACCTAACGATATCAGTACATTATAAGGATTACATAATTTCGTACTACTGTTGTCTATAATAACCTAACGATACCGTGTACATTATACTATATACTGTACTACTGACTATAATAACCTTAACGATACCGTACATTATACTATATACTGTACAACTGTCTATATTAACCTAACGATACCGTACATTATACTATATACTGTACTACTGTCTATAATAACCTAACGATACCGTACATTATACTATATACTGTACTACTGTCATAATAACCTAACGATACCGCAGTACATTATACTATATACTGTACAACTGTCTATAATAACTCAATGATACTGTACATTATACTATATACTGTACTACTGTCTATAAGAATCAACGATACTGCATATTATACTATATACTGTACTACTGTCTATAATAATTCCAACGATACTGTACATTATATCATATACTGTACTAATAGTTCATAAGAAATCCTAACGATAATGCGGTACATTATACTATATACTGTACTACTGTCTATAATAACTTAACGATACCGTACATTATACTATATAATTGTACTACTGACTATATAATAACCTAACGATACCGTACATTATACTCTATATACTGTACAACTGTCTATAATAATCTAACGATACCGTACATTATACTATATACTGTACTACTGTCTATATTAACCTAACGATACTGTACATTATACTATATACTGTACTACTGTCTATAATAACCTAACGATACCGTACATTATACTATATACTGTACAACTGTCTATAATAACCCAACGATACCGCACATTATACGGGTACTGCATGAACTGTCTATAGCCAACCTAACGATACCGCAGTACATTATACTATATACTGTACTACTGTCTATAATAACCTAACGATATCGCGTACATTATACTATATACTGTACAACTGTCTATAATAACTCAACGATACCGTACATTATACTATATATACTGTACTACTGACTATAATAACCTAACGATACCGTACATTATACTATATACTGTACAACCGTCTATAATAACCTAACGATACCGTACATTATACTATATACTGTACAACTGTTCATAATAACCCAACGATACCGTACATTACACTATATACTGTACCACTGTCTATAATAACCTAACGATACCGCGTACATTAAGTACTATATATACTGTACAACCGTCTATAATAACCCAACGATGTCGTACATTATGCTATATACTGTACTACTGTTCATAATAACCTAACGATACGTACATTATACTATATACCGTACCTTCACTGTCTATAATAACCTAACGATACCGTACATTATATATACTGTATTAAACTGTCTATATCCAACGATACCGCACATTATACTATATACCGTACTACTGTTCATAATAACCTAACGATACCGTACATTATAATTTCATATACCGTACTACTGTCTATAAATAACTCTAACGATACCGCACATTATACTAAGTATACCGTACAACCGTCTATAATAATTCCAACGATACCGTACATTATACTATATATAATGTACTACTGACTATAATAACCTAACGATACCGGGTACATTTATAATTATATACCGTACAACCGTCTATAATAACCTAACGATACCGTACATTTACCATATATACCGTACCACTGTCTATAATAACCTAACGATACCGCACATTATACTATATACCGTACTACCGTCTATAATAAATCTAACGATACCGCAGTACATTATACTATATACTGTACTGTCTATAATAACCTAACGATACTGCACATTATACTATATACTGTACTACTGTCTATAATAACCTAACGATACCGCACATTATACTATATATACTGTACTACTGTCTATAATAACCTAACGATACTGCAAGCATTATAATACTATATACTGTACAACTGTCTATAATAACTCACGATACCGTACATTATACTATATACTGTACTACTGTCTATAAGAACTTAACGATACTGTGTACATTATACTATATACTGTACTACTGTCTATAATAACCTAACGATACTGTACATTGAGTACTATATACTGTACTACTGTCTATAAGAACTCTAACGATACCGTACATTATACTATATACTGTACTACTGTCTTATATTAACTTAATGATACCGTACATTATACTATATATACTGTACTACTGACTATAATAACCTAACGATACCGTACATTATACTATATACTGTAACAACTGTCTATAATAACCTAAATGATACCAAAAAAAGCATTATACTATATACTGCGCTACTGTCTATAATAACTCAACGATTAAAGCATTATATACTATATATACTGTACTACTGTCTATAATAACCTAACGATACCGTACATTATACTTTATATACCGTACAACTGTTCATAATAACCCAACGATACGGCACATTATACTATATACCGTGCCAACAATTATAATAACCTAACGATACCGTACATTATACTATATACCGTACTACTGTCTATAATAAACCTAACGATACCGTACATTATACTATATACCGTACAACCGTCTATAATAACCTAACGATACGTGTACATTATACTATATACTGTACTACTGACTATAATAACCTAACGATACCGTACATTATACTATATACTGCACAACCGGTTCATAATAACCTAACGATACCGTACATTATAATTATATACTGTACAACTGTCTATAATAAACCTAACGATACGTACATTATACTATATACCGTACCACGCTCATAATAACCTAATCGATATCAAAAAGCATTGCGCCTATAGTACTGCAACTGTCTATAATAACCCAACGATACCGTACATTATACTATACTGTACTACTGTCTATAATAACCTAACGATAACGGTACATTATATTATATACTGTACTACTGTCTATAATAACCTAACGATACCGTAAGCATTATACTATATACTGTACAACTGTCTATAATAACCTAACGATACCGTACATTATACTATATACTGTACCACTGTTCACAATTTCCAACGATACTGCAAGCATTATACTATATACCGTACTCAATGTCTATAATAACCTAACGATACCGCACATTATTATACCATATACCGTACAACTGTCTATAATAACCTAACGATACCTACATTATACTATATACTGTACTACTGACTATAATAACCTTAACGATACCGTACATTATACTATATAACAGGCCAACTGTTCTATAATAACCCCAATGATACTGTACAGGTATATTATACCATATACTGGTACTACTGTCTATAATAACCTAACGATAACGCACATTATAATTATATACTGTACTACTGTCTATA